TGGGGGAGGCTTTTTGAAGCGTTCCCATAGACGGCGCCAAATGATGATGCACGATCCGATCGATCCTAGCTGCCGGTAACCTTGCCTCTAACGGAGCAGGAGATGCCTAAAACAGGGAGGAAACAAGAGATTCCGGGGGAAGAACCCGGTGGGAATGCTCCGATGCTCAAGTTAGTACTCTTGAGAAGGCAAGGAGAATGAGAGATTCTGAGACTAGAAGGTACAAAATATCACCTACCTTTACTCTGGGGGAAGAGGGCCTTTTATAACCACCCTGGTGCACTCACTCCCAAACCTCTGCCAGATCAGGTATAACCGCCTCTGTGGGGTTCAGGCATAACCGCCACTGTCTTCTCTGTTAGTGTCGTCTCTGCAACAATTAAGATGGTAGTAGCAGGTGGCTGTTGGAGTGCGATTGTCATTTGTCAAATCCCTGATCAGTCAGGTGCGCTGCCTCAGAGTATAGGCTTCTTTGTCAGGTACGGTTATTCTGTCACGTGACCTGGAGCCGAGGTGCCGGAGTGGTGCACGAGGTGAAGTCTTGAGTCCGGGAAGGATTGTGGCCCGGACTGTCTCGAGGTGCCGGGTTGTGGCCCGAACTGACCCGAGGTGGGTTAATCCGGGCTTCGCCCTTTGCGGGGTTCCTTGCAAGGCTCGAGACTTCTAGGGAGAGCTCAAGGCCTCTCCTTGGGAAGCTCGAGCTTCTTTTGGGATATGGCTATATTGCTGTGCTGAGCTGACGCTCCTGCCAAGTCATACCCGATTGCTTCCATGTGTCGCACAGCCAAGGGATTGGGCCAAATCTACCTCCATCAATTGCCCCCCACTCCCCGTGCCCGGGGTCTTGACCCAGTGTGGGGAGTTCATGGATTGACAGGTGGATTTGCCCCGTGGCGTGCTTCATCCAGTTCGGAGATTCTCCGGTCTGACCCGCCTATTCTCTTGGCTCGACCAAGGTCAGCTCAGCTCGACCAAAGGTCAACCCGGGTCGCGTACAGCTCACGCGCGGACGTCAAACGATTATCAGTTTTCGGACGTCAAAAGTTCGCGCTAAACTGATTTCACCTCGAGGGTCGTGCAGTTGGTTTTCCTGAGAGCTGTTGGATGGCTTTGATCTTGACCGTTGATGCACGGGCATAGCGGCTATAAATAGTGGGGGCCTTGGTCACTTTTCCTTCGCTAGTATTCAGTGCTTGTTTCTTGAGCTCGCATCCATGGTCTTCAGCTCACGTCACTTTTCTTAGTTCAGTAGCTTTTCCTTGGTGAGTCCCTTTAGCATCTTTCAATTTCCTTTCCTTTTCAATGTCTAGTTTGGGTAGCTCGGGTAGCTTAGATATTCTTTTAGGAGGGCCTGAGGCAGAGACTTCGGGTCGGGCTACCTCTTTCGACAGCCTTTCTGGATGAGTCGGAGGTAGGGCCTTTAGTCCGGGTCACCTCTGGCAGCCTGGAATCCACTTCTCGTCGAGTTCGGATGCCAGACAAGTTCGGACCCTCCGCTATCCCAATGATTTAACAAATAATTAAGAACTTATCCTACTGTTTGCATAATAACTTAAAGTACTTACAGTTTTTGATTGTGGACACTATTCACCCCTTACTGTCTATTCTTTGTTTCTCTTTGAGGTGGAAAGAAGGAGAAGAAGAAAATAACGGGCTTTGTAGGAGCAAAGGCCTATTGTTTTATTTATTTATTTTTATTTTTTTTGTGAATTTATCCACTTCTGACACTGGTTTACCTCTTCAATCTCAATGAATTCTCAGATCTATGGTGTCCCTAAGCTCTTCTATGGGCTTCTTCTCCCCCTCTTCCTTACCAAAACTCGCCGAGCTCATGGAGAAAGCCCTCCTCCTGCAAACCCTAGAGGATGCGGTTGGCAAGCACAATATCACCATTTTTGCACTGTTGAGAAAACTCTCTTTCATTTGGTATTCTAGGATGAGGTGGTAGTACATGATCTACTCCGGTGCACTCGGTTCATTCAATTGGTCCTGTTGGGTTTCCCTCTTATGTGGAGGATGGTCCAAGAAACACATGTGGTATTTTTGAGCCCATGGATGAGGGTATTTTTGTCTAAATGAAAATAGTCAAAGGAAATAACTTTTTAGTGGTGTTGACTACTAAAATATTGGAAGAAGAAAAGAAAAAGAAGTGAATCCCGTGTAAAAACAGAGAGAAAATGAGCAGACTTTTCAAATTCCAGCCTGTGCAGTTTTCATCTTGTGCTTTGATCGAAGGCCGTTTGTGGTCCAATTGAGCTGAAATTTTGCAGGTATGTGCGCGACTTAAGGTTCTTCAATCCGAAAGGTGGAGATCTGGTTTGGCTCACCGGTTTGTGAGATATGAGTCCGTGATCAGTACTTCTATTTTGGGTGAGATTTCTCCATTATCTTGAGATATTTGTTAGTTTCCAAGAAATGTATTTTCTTGATGATTTGCTGATTGTATGCCTCTAGTTTTATCTAGAGAGAACCCTTGTACAATTACTTTTTTGATAGTAGAAGTTTTTGGGTGACCGTGGTTTTTTTTCTTCCCACACTGGGAAGATTTTTTCACGTAAATTTGGTTGTGTTCTTGTGTGTTTGTTCTTTGGTTTTAAGTTCTAGTAAATTGTTTCCTAACAGATTCACACAAAGAGGGAGAAAAATATTATTTTTGCTGTTTTTGAAACTTGGTTAGAGTTTGCTTGATTTCGGGATTCTCCCAGCAGGTCCATCATTAGCTTCGCCATGGCCTTGTCATTTGGGGCCAAAACAATCAGTACGTATCCCTCTAACATCAAGTCTCCCCATCTGATCTGTTGCTAACAAGCTGAGGTTCGTGGAAATAGCAGTCATTTTGTTGCATCCACCATAAAGCAACAGAGTCTGGATGAAGTCCTTTACTTGGCTTTTACCATCGAACCAATGGTGTAGTCCTCCCTGCCCTGGAGTAGGCGCTGGTGCAATAGATGGACCTAGAGCCATGGCGTAACAAATCGATAGTGCGGGGGTGAACTGGCGAGGGATGGCGGCGTGGGTTTCTTCAATTGGTGGGCCATAGGATAGACCTCTAGTGTTTCCTCAAGTAACACGGTCAAGATGGAGCAAAGGCTCCAATGATAGTTGAAGTCTAATCCGGATCTCTTGCACAGATCGTTGAACCAACAACTGTTCAATCCCATGGATCACACCGTCGGGGCGGACCACGATGTCGGGGTGGATGATAGTCGCGAGATCAACAATTTTCTTTTGTCGGAACGCTTGCAAGTCAAACGGAGGTGATCATTGGAATGCGTTTAATGATGAACGATCTTAGGAGATACTTTAGGTGTTGGGTAAGTTACACTATAGTAAAAGAAATGAGTATAAAACCAATCCTAGGACAGCAAGAACTTTTCCCCTAAGTTTGTGTGTGAGAGATGGGTATACGAACAACATTGATAACAAGTAAACAATTTAGCCAAGTAATAGAAAAACAGATAACAATCACTACACAACAGCACACCAGAATTTTTACGTGGAAAATCCTAAAATCGGGGAAAAAACCATGGAACCTCTGGTCCATAAAAGTCTTCAGTTAATTCAGAAATTAATGAGTAGAATAGTCTTCTCTAGTTGCAACTAGAGGCTTACAAACATCAAGGAAATAATCCTTGGCTCACAAGAACAACATTAATATCACCAAATGCAAGGTGGATACAACACAAACAAATGTTTAGATTTCACAAAGTTGCTATAAATCTGAACTGAGAAATAGAGAAAGGAAAAATCACCATATCTGAATTGGAGTGAGATTCTTAACTCCAACACTTAATATCATCAAGAACGGACTTGAAAGACACCTCCAAACTTGATCTTGAATGGAATAAGAGCCAACTTTTCTTATCTTCTTCACAAAACTCAAAGATCCAGAAAAAACCCTCGGTTCAATGTTTTTTTCTTGTTTTTCTCAGTTCGGGTGGTTATGAACATGATGCCCAAAAAACTGAAAAGGTGGAAGCCTTTTTCTTTCACTATATGACTCCTTTTGGGAGCAAACAAAGGTGGGGTGGGCCCCTCATATGGGCTGGACCCACACCCAACATTAGGCCACTCCCCTGATCCGATTTGTTTTAGGTTACCAGGCTCCCGGAAGAGTTGCTTGAATTCAGGGTCAAGCGATCACCATCCTTCGGAGGGAAAAAAATGAAAATGCATTCTTCCTTACCTGTGGTCGGCTGGATTTGTAGGGTCATCGGAGATCTGGGATTTATAACGGTCATTTTCTCCGGTGTGTTTTTCTCTTCCAATGTATTTATAATCTTTACCTCTTTACTTAATTAGAGGGTAACATGACCACTTTTTTAATGGATTTTTCCATTGTCAAAAACTATTGAGATACTTTAATGCAAAAAACACTTGATAATGCAAACAATAAGACAAACAATAAGTGATAATGCAAAAATTATGAAAATCTATACAAAGTTTGTAAAGCTTCCCTTGCCTTTCCCTTCTTTTCCCTATTTTTTCCTTCAAACCAAATATAACATAAGTGATAAGACAAATTCTTGTCTATTTGCGAAACCATAAAGTTATTTTAAGTATTTAACCCTAAATCAAAACATTAGAACTGAATTTTATATTCGGTTAAAACTGAATTTTATTATATAACCGAAATATCCTAAAACCAAAATAACCAAAATTTAAATTTTTAATTCGGTTTTTGATTTCAACTGGAATACTGAAATATGCTCACCCGTAAGTATTATTTTTTTTTTAACAGTGGGAGAGCGGATTAAAAACGAATATTTTTTTCTTCAGTCAAAATATGATCCATTTGTATTAAAACGAAAGGAAATGGATTCGGATCGGATTGGATTTGTATAGTTTATATCAGATTCTTATTAGATCTGATCGGATTAAATTGATAGCCATATGTAATGGTGATAGGTAGCAAACATAGTTCAACTTCAAAGTTCTCTATTCACAAATAGGAAATTTACATCATATTATTAGAATCTCTTATACAACCTGGAACTTACAGTAAATAACGCAGCAAGAATTCTTCTGGAAATCTAAACAAAGAAAATGACCATGAAGTTGAAATGTGAAATACTTATACATCATCGCCCACTGTCTAATGAAATAACAACATGATTCCTCAAACTATCGTATTCTGTGGTGTTGCAATTATGTGGATTTGATGGCTCAGCAAGCAAATACTCTGCATCTTCATGGTTAGGTTCTACCCATGGATGTTGAACAATGCTCCTGATCCGCCCCTCTAGTTCCATTGCTACTTCCTTCATTGTGGGTCTTTCCTCTCCCTTCACGCTTAGGCATCTCTTTACAAGGTTTGTGACTTCTTGGATTTGATCCTTGCTGGCTTCATGCAACACTCTATCTTCCAAAAGCTCTAAAACGTTGTCTTCTTTCAGTGAAGTAATAAAATGGATAGCGAGGTTCCTCTCTTTTTCAGGTCTATCAAATTCGAGTGCTTTTCTTCCAGTTAGTAATTCCACAAGAACTATACCAAAGCTATAAACATCACTCTTGTCTGTCAATTGGCTTGTATGAAAATATTCTGGGTCTAGGTACCCCAATGTCCCCTGTACTAACGTTGTGAATTGAGTTTGGTCCAATGGTACTAACCTTGAAGCTCCAAAATCTGATACCTTTGCCATGTAATTATCATCCAAAAGTATATTAGCAGATTTAATATCTCTATGAATGATAGGAGGAGAGGCCGCAGAGTGCAGATAGGCAAGTGCTGTTGCAGTTTCTGTAGCTATCCTCAGACGATTGTCCCATGAAATTGAAGATTTGTGTTCCTCATCATGAATATGTTGGAATAAGGTTCCATTTGTAATAAATTCATAAACCAATAATGGAATTTCAGACTCTAAACAACAACCCAAAAGCTTCACCACATTTTTATGGTTAATTTGAGAAAGGATGATCACCTCATTGATGAATTGCTCAACTTGGCTTTCATCCATTATCTTGGACTTCTTAATGGCAACTGTCTTATTATTGGGTAAAATTCCTTTGTAAACTGTACCGTAACCACCGCGTCCTAGGATTCGACTCTCATCAAAATAGTTGGTTGCCCTTTTGAGATCTTCCTCGCTAAATATCTTTGCAGCATCTACACCTCCATTACGTGAAGAAAGTTGTTGCCTCAGCAGAAAACCACCATTTTGCTCAAAGAATTTCTCTTTGCGTTTGTTCTGCTTTCTCTTCTGGATTCCCCAGTATAACCAGGAGCTAAGAAATAGTAGAAGCAAGATCCCAAAACCAGTTCCTACATGTAAAATGTCCACTTAGCTAATGTATGAGGATTCATTGTAATACATAGTTCAAAAAATTATACATCCATACCCCACGCTGAAGGACCTAGGCTATTATGGAATGGCCTAGAATCACAACACTTATGCTTACGAATCTATCCTAAATAAGGGATAATATCCACTTGCCTAATTCACATTAATTGACTTCAGAAACATTAATAACAACTAATTAGAAAAATGCAGGGAAAAGGCTTCATTTTGGTTATGTGATTGGGGCTACCGGATGAAAATTGTGACAGATAGCTAGAGGGTTATAAGCTGAGAATGCACAAATTTACATATTTCGCATCTATATATTTATATTAATAAAACAGTGGATACTTGGTTTGGGCATTATGCCAGTCATAAAATTTAAATCCAAATACCATATCTCCTATATCTCCTATTTGGTTAATAGTTACTTGTGCCCATGTTGTTACACTGGTGCCATAAAATGTCAAAAAGGCTCAAGTAAACAAGGCCTCAATCAAAGCCCAACTTAAATTTAAGTCAAGGCTGAGATTTCTGGCCATGCCCAACCCAAAGCCCAAAACTTAATCCCAACATGTGTAAAAGTTCGGGTTGGATTGGTCGGGCTAGAGTTGGGCCAGTCCGAGTTGCAGCGCTACACCATAGTGGAAGACTCTTTCAATAAGTTAACCTCACTATAGGCGTGGTTAACCACAAGAAAGCCAGCAGTTAAAGCAATCGACTGATTAACTCCTATAGGCGTGGTTTGTTCCGATGTGGTGGTTCCCACTTCCCACCATAGTATATTGAAATTTCTGCAAGCAACACACAAATCTACAAAAAAAAAGAAGGAAAAAAGACATATGGTAAGCACCCCTCAACCACTTACTCCGAAATTTAATGACAGACTGCAGAAAGAAGTGGACCAGATCAAAGGATCCTCGGTAACACTTATCCGTGATGAGAGGTGGCTTTTATCAATATCAGTCACAGTTAGACCACACCAGTTAAATCGTTTAAACCAACCTTTACGTCAAATAATCGGGATGTGGAAGCTCACCGGGTCACGAGTTCAGCCGTCCCGTCTGGTCGGAGTCCGACAACACTGATTTTTATTATCCAAAAATTGGGCTCCTTATTTATTTCAAAGTAAATTAAGCCGATTCTTTTTTTTTTTTTTTTAATTTCCGAACTTGTAAAATTTCAGAGAGAATACTTATGGATTAACATATTTACCTAAGGCGATTTGCATCAGTGAAGATGGAAGAGCAGTGCAACCCGTTCCAGTTTTTCTTCCATCCCCTTCCATACCAGGAGGGCAGGAGCAGTTGTAACTCCCAGGCGTATTAGTGCAAATCATCTTGCAGTCATTCATATGTGCACCAGCACATTCGTCTACATCTGAAAACCAATTTATGAGAAATATCCAGTAGATTAGATTATACGGTGAGGATCGATCAAAATATCAAATTAATTTCTACAAAATTAATACTTATGATCAGAAGAGTTTTAATTGGTAATTACACACACCTTGGCATCCGTCTTCCAGGTAAGGATTTCCATGGTAGCCTTGAGAACAGTTGCAGAGATATCCGAGACCGTTGGGGGAGTTATAGCAATCGCTGTTCTTACCACATGCATAAGAGGGATCACTTCTTGAAACATTTTCACAGGTATAGTTCTCAATTGCCCAATCAAGGACCACTGGAACCTTTTCATCATTTCTATTGTAGAAATCCATATAGCCGAACAGATCTCCTACTGAGAATTTGTACCACTCGGCGTCAACCAAGAAACCATAGCTGCATGGATTGTAATCCATGACTCGGGTGTGGTTATGGAAGCTATGGACCTCGACATCGTACTCCTTGAATCCCTTTGGGATGGATGTCTGGCAACAACCGATGCCTGAACAAGATCCATTCACCAAGCTCTGTTGGTCGCTGCAAACCATGGAGCATCCGCTTGTGAAGTTGCGGCCCTTAGAACCTGATATGTAGGTATAGATGTCACAGCCTATGGATGTGAATCTGTTGTGAACATCAGAGAAAGAATAGGGTTTCATTTTCAGATCCATCCAAGGACGGTTCCGGCTATGACCCCCCGAACGATTGTAACAATCGTAACCTACAAAGTTTCTGACCCGCAAACTGCCCAGTGGTGATATGTCTATAACTTCCACGGTACCATTTGTTCCTAGGAACAGCTTGGGAGGGTCGAAGGATGTGCTGTTGCAGGTAAGGTCGAAGCTTTCTCTGTAACAGTTTGCTTCTCCGAAGCCGAAAGGGTATGGAACACTGATAGTGCCACATTTATCTTTGCAGCCGGGTTTAGCCACTGACACTGTTGATGATATCGCCATTATTGGCCTTGACCATGACAAAAGAAGCTGAAGAAGCAGAACGAGCAGAGACATTGTTACCGAAATCTGCTTTGTAACTTTTTGTTTCATGAGATATGATGAAACGTACATTTGATTTCGTCCTTTTTATAAGTCAGGATGTGGACTTGAGTTTACTTTTTGCTCCAACCACGTAATTTTCCTCCGGCTTTCTTCCTTCGGTTTCTTTATCGCCCTCCAACCTCAGTTGACCCTGTTAAAGAAAGACCAAACCACTGACCACGAAATCAAAGTCTTCGATTCTATCCAAAAAAAACAAAGAAAGAAAGATAGAAATCAAAGCCTTCGTATGCATTCCCGGTTTGATACCTGCGCTAAAATCATGTCATAATTAACAACAATTAATGAAGTCTTTTTTAATATGCAGCCGCTCCCATGAGGCCATTACCACTAGGAATTCGGCTTCAGTGCTCACAAACACGGTCGCTTGCAATTGGTGTACAAATGGGAGATATTCCCAATAAATGGCTGTAAAAATCTGTACAAATGGTGGGTTTCAAGGCTGTGCAAACGTTACGAACAGAATCTTGAGTCTTGTGAGCACTGAAGCCGATCGCGATGGACCACTACAATCACTCACTTTCATACGGGAGTGGGAGTCATTATTGATTAAATAGCACCCCTACTATCCAAAGAAAAATAATTACTTGAATATAACATGTGACTCCAGAGATTAAATTACTTAAATATACCATATGCGCTACGATTAAGTATATCTTGTAGGTCCACTTGACACAAATGCGTGGTAACTTAGTGAAAAGTAGAAATGGCTCTCAGCTATCTGACCCGGTCAGAGTGGGTTCTTTTTGACCATGATCAGGTTTGGAGTGTGTTTTGGGTCGCGGATCAGGAGGGGTCGTGTATGTATGCATCTATGTATCGGTCGGCTATCGGTGAAAGATTCTTAGTGGTTTAGAAATTAAAAATTTTCAATAATCTTGAAGAATCAAGATCAAGTCTATGGTGGTGTACAAAATCCTAGTAGAATTTGATCTATGTGAAAAAGAAGAGGGAAAAAGGGTTTGGTGGCTCTAGGGATCTAAATAACTGAAAATTTTAATTTAAAAGTATTTTTAAATATATAATATAAAATATTATATATATATATAATTAGGGTTGAGGCGGGTGGTGAATTCACTCTCCATTCTCGTCCTTGTTCCTAGACACTGTCAATTTTTATATATTCCTACCCCATTCATGCCAAGACAATCTCCACCCTCAATTCCATCAATCAGGTTGCAAAATCTGAGTACCTGACAGGATGGAGAAAACTATGATCTGTATATATTTTGTTGGGTTGAATTAAGTTATAAATGATTATTTCTATGTAGGAGTCTAATGATAGATTAGGTTTTGGTTACTGGTTTTCTAAAATCCATTACCGCCGTTTGGTTTAAAAAAAAATGTCCACAATTCAGTTAACTGAAGCGTGAACGCCCTTACACAAAAGCCTATCCAGCCCTCCCAAACGGGCACATTCACCACAACCTTCCTGTTGATCTCAAGTCAATAGCGTGAAATTTCATGGCTCATACTCACGTTGTTATTTTAATCCAAACCGATCGAATCAGGAATTGTATTTACGGAAAACTAGCGAGGTAACTCGTGATCGGCTACACAACACGCGATACACAGCGATTCCAGTAGCAAGTTTGAAGTGGCTAAAACCTGCGAGGACCATTTAAATTTAAGGCTGCAAATACTCGAGTTAGGGTTAGGGTTAAAATTCATAAATCCAAATTAGGGTTGACCTCTTAGGCAATCCAACCCAATCCGAACCTAACTCTATAGTACATGTTATATATAAATATATGATATATCATACATTGATTTGTTTAGATGCATGATAGTTGTATAGCCCCCACTACATACTATTCATGTATTTTTTTCAAAATAATCACTCACTTAATCCTAATTGGAAGGATTAAAACCATAATAAAATATTTTTATGTTTTTTTTTTAATATTTTATTCTTCACTTCCTCTCTACTATTTGTCGCCCAAAGCTTGCAACACAAAAGATCTATCATAAACCATAACTCGTAATAAACTATAGTCATTTCAAATACTATTTTTTTTTTATGAATTTTGTACTAAAAGAACTAATAAAACATGAGATATGTAATGAAAGTTGAATTAAGATCTGAAATTGAGAAGTTCTATGAGATTTTAAGGGATGGGTTGGGCCCAACCCAATCCAAAGTCAACTTCGGGTTGGGTCAGGGTTGAAGGAATTTAGTTAGTTTTAAGGTTAGAATTGGGTAGGTCAGGTTGGATTTAGATTAGGATTATGTGTTTAGAATTTAGGGTTGGGTAGGTCGAGTTGGTGTTTAGAATTTAGGGTTGGGTTAGAATTGGCCTCAACCCGACCTAACCCAGCCCGACTTGCAGCCCTATCTAGAGTATTGTGTATGTCAACCTTTTGCTTACCATGCTAAGACTTCATTTTCCTTTTTATTAATCTATACTAATTTAAAAAGTACGAATAGCCTCAAGAATATTTCTAGAATTTTTTGATGACAAAACTTACCCTTCTATATTAAATTTATTGATAAAAATGATGGCAAATAGGGTAATTAGTTAATGATATTAAATGAGTTGGAAAGAGTTAATTTAAATATATTCAATGCATTCAATTATCTCTCATTAAATCTAACATTTAAGGCATTAATTTGCATCACCTTCATTGAATCATATATTTAAGGCTTCTTTGTTTCTTTTCATCATTAAATTCTATAATTAAATACATACATAATAAATTAATAATTTCAATAATATAAAAACTTATACTTTTAAAATCTTCCTAGAGAAAATAGTGTTATCATCTAGGTAGTAGTAAGAAATTAAACCATTTGGGTTAAATGGGCCAATCCATGTTGCTATAATTAAATAATAAAATGAAAAGATATAGAAATAAAAAAATGGGAACACTTTTAATATCATATATTTGACCTATTAAACAATAATAAGTATGATAAACAATGTTTTAAAAACCGATGCAGAGGCTAACCCACTTTTGCCTTTAGGTCATAGGTCACCGGTTTGACTATCAAGGTCAAACGAGTCAAACTACTCTTCGTCAAAACTATGTGTGTATGTGTGTAAAAATACATATTTTATCACTGAATAATATAATTACGTTTTACATATAATATATATAATATATGTATTTTGTTACAATTATTTATGTTTTTTAATTATGTTTTAAATTTTTTATTTATAAAAAATATTAAAAATTGTAATTTGGGCCAAAAAAGGGTTTTTTCACAAAAATAGCAAGGCAGTGCACATAATGCCTTTGAGACATATAAATCTTGAAAAGTTACTCAAAAAAAAAAAAAAGCGAAAACCCCAATTGGACATCAGAATGCAAAGTTATAGCTTCCAAAAAGTTTGCACATAATTAAGTGCACAACCTACGACTTGGTTACTTAATCAAACAGGTCAATGGTTGAATCGCCCAAGTTAGACGGTTTTTAACCAAAGGTGGGGGTTCAACAAAACCAAACGTAGAATCAAGGTTGAGTGACAATTCAAACGGTTCAATCGGGCAGGTCAAAAACAAGTTGAAAACATTGATTATAAATAAGAAATGTTTTTATTAATGATGGAAATGAGTGTAAAATTTAAAACCAATTAGAAGTAAAACTATTTTCCTATTATCTCTCATTAAATCTCATATCTAAGGTATATTCTCTTATTAAATCCTATATTTAAGATATGTTTTTCTCATCATTAAATACTACTAATTAAATCCACAACATTAATTTTAATAATGTAAAAATAAATATTTTGAAAAGTAATTTGAAAACAAAATGATTGTATTCCCTCTTAGTGGTGCGTAAGAAATTCAACCATATGGGGTCAATCCGTTAATAAATAATGACATAATTAAATAATAAAAAATTAAAATAAATAAAATATATAATATAAAAAATAAAAAACTGGGCCCACCATTAATATTGTATATTCATTATACTAAACAAAAATAAGTATGAAATGTAAGAAGTATTTTTGTAAATGATGAAAATGGAATGCCAAAATTGAAATCAACCTAGAAATGAAATGATGTCATAGTCAAATGATAAAATTTTTAAAAATAGAAAATACAAAGAATCATAAAAATAAATATTATATATAAGATATAATTTTATAAATAATGGAAATGTAATACAAAATTTAATGTCAACATAAAAATCAAACTATTTTTCTTTTTGGGTGGTGGGTTAGTGGTTTGGGTCAAATGGATTAATCGATGATATAATAGTTAAATAATAAATATTTAAAAATAATAAAAAACATAAGTAATCAAAAGAATATATAATAAATTATATATCAATTATATCAAACAAAAATTAAGTGTGATATGTAAAAATTATATATATTATGTAGATGAAATATATAATTTAAAATTGATTTGAAAGCAAAGATGTTTTCTTATTTAAATGGTGGGTCAATGATCCAACATTTTAAAGAAATTCATTATTTCATAATTGAATAATAAATATTTAAAAAAGGATAGAACACAAAAGATAAAAAGTACAAAGTTTTGCCAAAGACATTTCGGAACATTTCTAATTTTACATAATCGTCATATTAAATAAAAATTATTTTTAATTAAGACAAAAATGGATACAAAATTTAGTAATAATAATAATAATAATAATAATAATAATAATAATAATAATAATAATAATAATAATAATAATAATAATTGTTTTTATAATATAAAATTTCTGCTGATATACATTTAGTACAAATATTTAAATTTATTTTTAACAATATTATTACTTTTGTTAATTTTCAATTTCTATCTATATATATTCATACATACAACATATATACTTAATTATTAATATATATATATATATAACCCAGAATTTTCATTAAACAAGTAGAAATAACTGGTTACATTTAGTCTGCGGCCATGCGGCGTAGTGGCCGCAGAGAAATCCCAATTGACACGGTCAATCTTTAAATAGAAATTGTTCCATGGCGACCTCGTTTTAAATACGTGTTCATCATTGACCCTCAGCAGTT